CAGTCTTACACTTACAGGCTCTAATCCGACGTTTCAGAGCTACTTCAGCAAGAAAGTTATGTCCAATTTAAAATTAAGGTTAAGACTGGATCTGCAGGAGCCATTTGAGGGCCTACGAAATAATTGGTAATCGTACTGTAGTGCGACACGTACTCTAGTGCGACACGTACTCTAGTGCGAAGTCCGACAAAAAACCCTCTGTCGCACTACAGTACGTGTCGCACTACGATCCAGGTAGCGTACTCTAGTGCGACAAAATATCCTGACTTATTTCCAAGTTCAGGTCACATCCTATCCTTCTTATGGACCATTAAGAGATTCGTCGGGTCGGTTCACGTCACTTATTTCGAAGTGATCTTGCGAATACGATTCGTCGGTTCACATCACGTGTTTCGAAGTTATCTACTGATCATAATTCCTTCGTGTCAGTTCAAGCCACGTATGCAGTGTGTGATCCACTGGGTAACTCTTAAGCAGCATTTGATCCTCATTCCTATCACACGCATCGTATGAAGGTATATCTCCGATTGGGATAACAAGTTCATATGCTTGGGCCATAAATAAGGTCACGATGATTCTACCAAAGCATCGAGCAACATCAATATGTCTTCTTCAATCACCTTCATTCCTGGACGCACTACTGGTCTACTGGTTCAAAAAACGTTATCCACGACGGATACCGCTACTGCCTGGATAAGAATCGCGACGACAAGACCTACTAGCGATGCACTGAGAAGACCTGGTCCGGACGTCTCAGTCTGACGAACAACACTACTGTGACCTGGACGCAGCTGAAAGCAACCCTTCCCTCGGAGATGGATTCTTTTGCTGCCTAGTGACTACTACGAACGTACCTGGGTCGGAACACAAACCTCCTCTCCCCCTTGATGGGCTGCACCAACCCTACTATCTGGCGATTTATCGACGTCCTGAAGAAGGAGCAGGATCTAACCCAATGGAAGATCAACCAGAAGAATGAAGATGCTCAGACAACTACCTACTCGCCGACTGAAGAAGTTGACTGATTACGACCGTCGCTTGAACGCTGTGATTGATAGCTACGATGATTATATTATGACAGAATGGATTAGTTGAAGTGTGCTGTGTGTTGGAACAATGATTTTGAATTGAATATTGTGATTGCAATCTTAGATTTTATATTTAACCCCATTACTCATACACGACTACACTCTTGTCATGTGTAAAGTGTTTTGTCGCACTTTAGTTCGTATCGCACTTATACAGTCCAGGTAGCGCACTGTAGTGCGACAGTGTCGGCCTTGAAAATTCTCTGTCGCACTAGGGTACGAGTCGCACTACGATCCAGGTAGCGTACTCTACTGCGACAGTGTCGATCTTGGAGGTTTCGCACTAGGGTACGTGTCGCACTAGAGTACGTGTCGCACTACAGTACGTGAACCTTATTTCTTTGTTGTCTCGTAATCCAGTCATCTCTGCTGTGCCTGGAACTTCTCCGTCTTGCACTGCTACACAATCTAGCTCAATGGTGTTCCTGTTAGCTGTTGATAATCGTTGAAATCTCAGGCTTAACTCTCGGTAAATTCTTGAACCGGTGATTAGGGTTCCGAGTCTTTGTATAGGTACGCTAATAAGGTTTGTTACAGTGTCATCATAGATTAGTGGGTTTATGACTGAGTTGATGGGTAGAATAATCATGGAAAACAGGCCATACCAGGGTGTTGCATCTAGGACATCAAGGGAATGTAGGACACAGATCACTATGAAGGGCACCCAGCAAAGGAAATCTGTAGTGATGATGATGGTGATTCTTAAGTTCATTTTTCTATTGCGTTGAGTTATCTGTCGGTTCCCTCCTGACTGAGTCAAACTTTTAGAAGATTTGTGAGATATGATGCCAATGATTAAGTATGAAGCTGTTATGAAAGAGAAGCAAACAAAGTTCAGGGCAAGAATTGCCCATACCAAGTGCCTCTGTGGATCATTTTCTTTGACAAAATATTTGAAAAGGCAGACTCCATCGTTTCCATAGAATTCTACCTTTTGTATGTTTTTTGTGTAATCTTCATACCTATTATCGTGAGAATACATCTCGGACATCATTTCGTTGATCAAATGCCAACTTAGTGTTGTTTCTTTCATTCTACCAAAGTATCCTTGAAAGACGGCAAATAGCGTCTGCTTGTTCATTGATCCAATAAATACCTTTATCTCTTCTGCATATTTTACTCCATTGACAAAGAAATCCTCAAATTTGGAGATAATTGGAATAACAGCAATAATAATGGACGCCAACGTCATCATAAAAACACCTCCTGCAACTTGAAGTGATTTTATTAAGGTAACTTCTCCCGGAATTCTCATAGAATTTTTTATTCCATAAATTCGGTTGAGGCTCAGTGCACACATAGCAAAAAGCGAGACTTGAGATCCTATGGTGCTAAGAACACCAATAATTGAACAATGGATGCTGGTAATCCAACCAATCTGCTGAGTACAATATTGTTCCTTGAAGATTACACCATCAAAAACTGATATGACGAATAAGTAGATACCAACTAAAAGGTCTCCAAAAGATATCATCATGATGAGGGACTTATTGAACAGAGCTACTGTGGTTTTACAGTTCTTTAAAGTTCCAGTATTTTTGGACAGGATGATAAGATTTGCCAATACGGCTAGAAATCCTATAACCCACGATGAACATTTGAGAGCATTCCCTTCTAGAATCTGTCTTGAACACTGGTTATTACATTCGTCCGTTAAATCCAGGCAGTCAAATGATCCGTCACATTTCTTTGTCACCGGTATGTAGCTACCGTCACACTTGAAATTATTTGTGCAGCTGTCCTCATCCGAGCCATCCCCGCAATTATCGATGAGATTGCATACTTGGGAATAATCAATGCAAGTGATATTGTTGTCACAGACAAAATATTTGTTCGTATAAATATCTTTATATGAATTTGTGACAAATGTTAGGTATTCGTTATTGGCTATCGTCCCTATTCTATTTTGATATTGTCCTGGACAAACCTCATATGTAGGGATATTTCTCAGTGGACAAGAGGAACTGAAACACTTGTCTGCACAACTAGTGTACAAATATTGTTCTCCAAACATGTGGTCACAAGTTTGAAGAATGTTTGGCATGATAACCGTTGTATTGGTTCCTCCGTAAACGTTTTTATTTGAAAATCTAAACGTGCTGATAGTGAAGCAATGATTTTTGAAGTTTTGAGTGTTTTTTTATCCCCTTTATGCAGTATGATAAATGCTTTGTCATGCTGTTGTCAGTTGATAAAACGGCTGTGGACAGTTTCGATTGTTTGCGGGACTCAGAGCAGATCTTATTTTCATTTCCGCATGTTTCAACTCCATCGCATAGTTTACTAAATTCCACATATCCAGGGTCACCCCATGGACAAATGAACACATTTTCACACTTGTCGTTGCTGGTAACAAATCGTAATGATTTGTTGCTCCCACAAGTGGGCCAACTGTCATCTTCGTCGATTCCATTCAAACAGTCCTTAACCCCGTCTCTTAACCAAGCTAGAGGTATTTGGAGTACCCCTCTCTGGCCGACACGTCTTTCACACTTTTCCAGTGTCGTGGTGTTGCATATAAGACCAGTTTCATCACTTTTATCATTGCAGTCTTGTTAACCATCACACATGAAGTGCCTGTGAACAGTACACTGAATAGAGGTTTGTAAGCACTGGTTCTCAAAGTTATCGTCACATATTTCCTTTTCACCCGAGCAGATCATATATTTTGATACAGAGGACAAGTATCCGTTAACAAGACATCTTACCCCTACTCTGGCGGGATCTGAACAGTTTGTTTGATATGGAGCATAATCACTGCAGTGTTGTGTGTCGAGAGTTACCAAATGAGACAGTTGTTAACAGAGTTACATTAAATATTAAACATCCTGTAAATAGTACATATTAGTAATAATAAATCTCACGACATTCTCCCCAGCTAAATAATAGAAGTCAATATTGAAGTCAAAATTACTTTAATCTCTCACAAAACTATAAAACAGGGGTAAAATTTAAATTATAAAACGGTAAAAAACGGTTCATAAAACTGAGATATTAGGAGGTGCACCATAAAAATAAACTTGCTCGGATTTTAAAAATTTTTGTACCATTGTTTTCTAGAGACTGTGAGAATTTTCACAATACCAAATTTGTCATACCTTTTTGGAAAGATCAGTGAGTTTTGCCTAGGTGCCATATTTGATGGTGCGCGGCTTTTGGAGCAAAATTAACTGTAAAAGTCGCGTAATTTGACCAAATTTGACCAAATTCGTTGATTTTTGTCGTATTATTTGGATATATCTTCAGTTCCTTGAATGAGATCATTCTGAAAATTGGTGACGATCTTCCAATAAGGCTTTTACAACTGTCTGAAAAATTTGGTGGATATCGGAGTTGATATAGTGATCAAAATGGGGCAAAATACGCTGCTTTTAGCTGTAACATAATGTTTGATGGTTGGATATGCTTTAAACTTTTCGGACACATTTCTTGTAAGTCTATGAGTAAGCTTACCAATTTTTGTTGCAATCGGAGGTCGGGAAGAATACTTAATATCTATTTGTTTGAAGAAAATTGTGCTGGCCGAAATTAGCGCTAAAAAACCATCCCACAGTCGGCACGCGCGGCTCACTGTCGATGGCGCACTACCTAGAGATATAAAACGGCGAAATAAACGTAATATCGTCTCCGCGCGGCTGCGCTATATCATATCATAAGATAATTAGATTAGAAATGTTTATGGAGACGGCTTCCAGATATGCGAAAGTCCCCGCGCGTTACGTAAACTAGTAATCAGGTTGCTGCCACAGAGTGACGGCGCCATTACGTACACACGCATAAATTATAATTTAGGCTTTAAAACTGCCAAATATAAAATGTCTCATCAATAGTGAAAAGTCTCGAAATTCACGCGGTGATCAAGCACGATCAAGTGTCTAACCAGCCTGGAAGCGGTCAGGAGGACGAGATTCCCTAGTTGAACGGCGGGGGTTCGGAGAGATGACACGGTTCAGGGATACAGGAGGAGGTTGGAGGGTTAGAGGGAGCGGGAGTAGATGGAGCGACCGTAACAGAGGGGGTCACTGCAACTGGGGGTATTTCCTTTACAGCAGATCCTGTGGAGTTTTCGGCATTAGATTCGCTGACAGGTAGAGGTGCCAAGTCCCTCAACGAAACAGTGTCCTCGCGGCCCCCTGGGTACCTGACTCTAGCATTTGCGGGGTTGACTGAGACAAGATCGACCTCGTCACATAATGGATCATACTTAGACCTTCGGACGTGCCTCTTGGCCAGCACTTTTTTTTGAGTCAATAGCCAAGAAGGGACTGGTTTTCCGGAAGCGGATCTCCTTTGGAAGGAGAAAAGGCGTTCATGGGGAGTCTGGTTAGTGGCCGTACAGAGCAGAGTCCTTTGAGCATGAAGTACCTCGGGTAGGACTATCTCCCAATGGGTCAGAGGGAACTTTTTGCTTGATAGTGCTAGCTGAATAGCCTTCCATATGACGCCATTGTAACGTTCAACCTGGCTATTACCACGGGGGTTGTACTTCGAACTATTACTAAACCCTACCCCGTGATCTAGGAAGAATTTACGGAGCTCACTGCTTATCAAGGAGGGGCCGTTGTCTGAGTGTACATATCCTACCGTGCCAAACATAGAGAACAAGTTAGATAAACATCTGATTATGGTAGAAGATTCCATGTTAGGGCAGGCGTAGACAAAGGGGAACCGGCTATACTCATCTATGATGACCAGCATATACTTATTCTTTGTGCTCGATGGGAGGGGTCCCTTGAAATCAATACTAATTCGGTCCAGGGGTTTTGTAGCTTCTATTAGCGGAGGGTTTAGAGGTCTGATGAACTTGGGCTTAATCCTAGCACAGTCCCCACAATCAGCTGTTACTTTCTTGACTTGATCGATGGAGAAAGGCATGTTTCTGACCCTAACAAAGTGATATAACCTGGCCACACCTGGATGACAGAGATTTTCATGAATATCAACCAGGTCAGGGTAACCATAGGCGAGGGCTGAACAGTAGGCTCGCGAAAGGCAGTCGGCTGTGACGTTTTCGGGCCCGGGCCGATACTTGATATCAAAGTCCAAGGTGGAGAGCTCGATCCTCCAGCGCTGTATCTTATTATTTTTGATCTTCCCGTGGGTCTGATGACTAAACATGAAAGAGATAGCCTGTTGGTCGGTGATGAGAGTGAATTTTCGTCCTGCTAAATAATGTTGCCATTTTCGACATGCTTCAACAATAGCGCAGGCCTCCTTCTCCACAGCGTGGTGTCTGCGTTCATGTGCTTTTAGGGTCCTAGAGAAAAATGCAACAGGCTTACCACCTTGGTTAAGACTAACGGAAAGGGCAAACTCAGAAGCATCTGATTCAAGGACGAGATTATCACGATCATTGGGACACACGATACATGAACTTGCGATTTTTGATTTAATACTCTCGAAAGCAGTATTACAAGTCTCTGACAGTGGAAATGAGGGTTCCTTAATGAGTGGCTGGACCATATCTGAGTACTTTTCTACCCACCGTGAGTAGTATGAAAACAAACCGAGAGCTCTCTGCAAGGAAGCAGGGTCCTTAGGCAATGGCAGTTTAAGTAAGGGCTCCATGCGGTCTGGATCAGGTCTCATCTGACCTTTTGAGACCAAGTAGCCTAGGATATTAATAGAGGTAGTAGGCCCCGCTGTTTTCTCCTTGTTGAGGGTTAGACTATATTTCTCTACAATGTCTAGAAACTTCTTCACATTCTCGTCATGTTCTTCTTGTGACTCACCCGCCACTGTAATATTGTCAAGATAGGCGAAAGTCCCCTCGAGCTTCTCCTGTTCTATGATTTGGTCAATGACTCTCTGGAAGGCTGCTACCCCATTTTTAACACCAAAGGGGATGACGTTGAACTCAAATAACCTCCCGGCGGCTTCGAATGCGGTATAAGACTTTTCGTTTTCCATTATTGGTATTTGATAATACGCAGACTTAAGGTCAAAGGTGCTGTAGATTGAGTACTTTGCAATGCTAGATACAACCCTCTCCATGTTTGGTAATGGATATGCGTCCAGTAGTGTGAATTTGTTTATCGTGCGAGAGTAGTCTACAACCATCCTCGGTTTTGTGTTTGGCTTGTTGAGGCCAGTAACTAGAACCTGAGCCCTCCATGGGCTATTGCTTGGCCTGATTATGTCACTTTCAAGTAGGCTATCAATGGTTTGTTTAATGAAAAATGACTCTTGATCGGAAAACTTGCGAGAACCGCAGGCAATAGGACGGAGATTACGGCACTATCCGTCGCGGAGTCGAGTCCGCGGCGGAGCCGCCGGACTCCGGGCGGACTCCGAGCGGACTCCGGCGGAGCCGCCGGACTCCGAGCGGACTCCGGCGGTGCTCCGCCAAAATGTATTTACAGTGGACTCGAGTACATTTTGGCGGACTCCGAGCGGAGCCGAGCGGACTCCGAGCGGACTTTAAAGTCCGCCGCGGACTCCGAGCGGCTCCGCGGCGGCTCGGCGGAGTGTCCGCCGCGGACTAAGCCACTAGGCGGACTCCGGTCCGCCGCGGACTCCGGCGGAGTGCTTGGCGGACTCCGCCGGACCTCTCCGCCAGACTTGAATCCGGCGGAGTCCGGCGGAGCTTGGCGGAGTCCGCCAGCTCGGCGGACTCCGCTCGGAGTCCGCCGGACTCCAACAGAGTCCACTGACTTCCGACCTCCGTCTTCCGACCCTCGGCTAAATTTGTCACGTGACATACAACATAGCATTTTGCAATATTGTGGTCAGATGAAAAGGTCGCTAGTGATAAACCTTAACCATTACCCTCACAATGTCAATAGTGTACAACTCTAGTCCTAACTTTGACCCTATAATGTATAAACGTTGACCCTAACCCTCCACCAAACCGTCCGCAGCGAAATATCAATTGTCAATGTCATTGACTGGTCACGTGACCAAAACAATTTTTGTCATATTATCTCATATGGGGAAGCGTTTTTAGCAAGCAAAAATTCGTCGACCATCACAGGACGACGCCAGCCAGCACTCTCTACGCTCTTCGAGCTCCGATCGTCCTGTGACGAAGTAAGGACGAAGCCTGAGGTCCTCAGGTAACATCGACCACCGATTGAAAATTCAAAATTTTTTTGACATAAAGGTCAAATGTAAAACTAAAATCTTGATGTTGATTGATTGACGACGTCAATTTTTGAGCACAGCGCGAGCGCATATTGCGGAAAAGGACCGCGTAGCTAGTCAAGATGTTGATAAATATTTGGCTTGTGGCGCGATGTGTTGCTCTAACTATAGCCCTCTCGCTTGCAGTAGCGCGCAACCGCCGGAGGCGGAAATGACCTGGTTAGCTAGGTAAACGCGATGTGCCTTGTAGGATGAAATCCTACTAGCTGACGCCATTCGCAGCTGTGCTGCTCGCTGTACGTCAGCGATCGAAATTTATACGCGTATCCCCCGTTAAGATGTGCCACTCGACGCGCCATTCACATAGCCATGTGCCTACGCGTACTGCGTGACGCGCTTGTTTCACAAGTAGGATAGGCACATACAGATCAGCACACATAAGATGGTACGTGTGCGCGCGCGCAGTGCTGACAATTGCGTCGTATTTAACTAGGGGGTGCACCATAAAAATAAACTTGCTCGGATTTTAAAAATTTTTGTACCGTTGTTTTCTAGAGACTGTGAGAATTTTCACAATACCAAATTTGCCATACCTTTTTGGAAAGATCAGTGAGTTTCGCCTAGGTGCCATATTTGATGGTGCGCGGCTTTTGGAGCAAAATTAGCTGTAAAAGTCGCGTAATTTGACCAAATTTGACCAAATTCGTTGATTTTTGTCGTATTATTTTGATATATCTTCAGTTCCTTTATGAATGAGATCATTCTGAAAATTGGCGACGACCTTCCAATAGGGCTTTCACAACTGTCCGAAAAATTTGGTGGATATCGGAGTTGATATAGTGATCAAAATGGGGCAAAATACGCTGCTTTTAGCTGTAACATAATGTCTGATAGTTGGATATGCTTCAAACTTTTCGGACACCTTCCTTGTAAGTCTATGAGTAAGCTCATCAATTTTTGTTGCAATCGGAGGTCGGGACGGATACTTAATATCTATTTGTTTGAAGAAAATTGTGCTGGCCGAAATTAGCGCTAAAAAACCATCCTACAGTCGGCACGCGCGGCTCACTGTCGATGGCGCACTACCTAATTTAACTCCGGGTGCACGTACATCGTGTGCGATTATTTATACTTATCGAAGGCTATAAATGCCTCTTGTTTATTTTAATTTGGCCTTGGTATTGTTCACTTTTAGACGATAAAATACAGGAATTGCGCCTTGCGGTATAATAATACGAATAATTAAGATTGTACAATCAAAATACATCACGAAACAGTATTAACTACCTCGCTACTTATCAACTTATACTATGTACTATGCGACAAAGATACACAATGCAATATTTATATACTTATAGAATAAACGAAACTTATAGAATAAACAATTTTTTTCGTTGCTCGTCGCACGTCGACGAACAACGAAGCTCGTTGCGACGCGCCGCGCAATGAGCTGCCAGGCTATGACATCGTCCTGGTCCAACAAATTTTGGCGAGCGATTTTCTCCAAAAATTTAATGAGGGCGTCGACGTGCGACGAGCAACGAGAAAAATTGCGTGGCGCGTCGGGTGGCACATCTTAACGGGTGATACGCGTATAAATTTCGATCGCTGACGTACAGCGAACATCACAGCTGCGAGTGGCGTCAGCTAGTAGGATTTCATCCTACAATGCAAGGCACATCGCGTTCATTTAGCTAACCAGGTGCTTTCGCGCCGCTGCGGGCGCGCTTGTTCCACAAGTCATTTCCGGCGGTCGCGCGCTACTGCAAGCGAGAGGGCTATAGTTAGAGCAACACATCGCGCCACAAGCCAAATATTTATCAACATCTTGACTAGCTACGCGGTCCTTTTCCGCATGCGCTCGCGCTGTGCTCAAAAATTGACGTCGTCAATCAATCAGCATCAAGATTTTAGTTTTACATTTGACCTTTATGTCAAAAAATCTTTGAATTTTCAATCGGTGGTCGATGTTACCTGAGGACCTCAGGCTTCGTCCTTACTTCGTCACAGGACGATCGGAGCTCGAAGAGCGTAGAGAGTGCTGGCTGGCGTCGTCCTGTGATGGTCGACGTATTTTTGCTTGCTGGGATCCGGCCGAATGACGCCACATGCAACGTGTAGGGTAAAACTAAAAACGCTTCCCCATATGAGATAATATGACAAAAATTGTTTTGGTCACGTGACCAGTCAATGACATTGATATTTCGCTGCGGACGGTTTGGTGGAGGGTTAGGGTCAACGTTTATACATTATAGGGTCAAAGTTAGGACTAGAGTTGTACACTATTGACATTGTGAGGGTAATGGTTAAGGTTTATCACTAGCGACCTTTTCATCTGACCACAATATTGCAAAATGCTATGTTGTATGTCACGTGACAAATTTAGCCGAGGGTCGGAAGACGGAGGTCGGAAGTCAGTGGACTCTGTTGGAGTCCGGCGGACTCCGAGCGGAGTCCGCCGAGCTGGCGGACTCCGCCAAGCTCCGCCGGACTCCGCCGGATTCAAGTCTGGCGGAGAGGTCCGGCGGAGTCCGCCAAGCACTCCGCCGGAGTCCGCGGCGGACCGGAGTCCGCCTAGTGGCTTAGTCCGCGGCGGACACTCCGCCGAGCCGCCGCGGAGCCGCTCGGAGTCCGCGGCGGACTTTAAAGTCCGCTCGGAGTCCGCTCGGCTCCGCTCGGAGTCCGCCAAAATGTACTCGAGTCCACTGTAAATACATTTTGGCGGAGCACCGCCGGAGTCCGCTCGGAGTCCGGCGGCTCCGCCGGAGTCCGCTCAGAGTCCGCTCGAAGTCCGGCGGCTCCGCCGCGGACTCGACTCCGCGACGGATAGTGCCGAGATTACCCTCGAGATTGGCGAACAAAGATGGGGGCTCGATATCTGCTTTAGCCAGTGAGCAGGAAATTGACGGAGAAAAGGGACTGGTGAGTTCGATGGGTGCTTTGTGACCACTAAATGAAAGTACCAGGCGCTCATGTTCCTTCAAAATGTCCAAACCCAGTATGATATCGCAACACAACTGTTCAAGAACCATGAGGCGCACGTTACAGAGGGAATGTTCATTTAAGTTTATATCAACATGACAGGCACCCACAGTTCTACTCACATGATTTTCTGATGCTAATGTTATTGAATTATTACAGTTTGAAAGTTTAACGCCTAATTTAGAAGCAAAACTTTTAGAAATGAAGCTTTCGGAGCTTCCTGTGTCAATTAGGAGATAGCCATTGAAATGGTCATTTACCTTGACGTTTACTACGGAGTGGGAGAGGGATGAGGGGTAAGGAGTCGACGAGGTAGCAGCGAGGAAGGGAGTATAGGCGTCCATCTCAGCAGGTACGTGATCATCGTTAGCAGGCCGGCGCATGGCTGCAGAGCGTTTGTTAGGATTTCTCTTGCGTTGTCGGCAAACACTGCTGAAGTGGCCCCGTCTGTCACAGTTGTGGCAGGGTGCATCTCTTGCAGGACAAACTTTTCGGTCGTGAGGGCTGTAGCCGCAGTAACCGCAGTGTTTGTCTCCTCCTTTTTGTGATTGGAATTGGGCACGGCCCTGAACAGCTGCAACATGAGAGATAGGCTCTTGACCAACAGAGCATGAATCGGTTGCCGCTAAGTGACCTTCGTCAGAAGCCCGGTGATTGTAGTGCTTACTCTCCCTGAGGGCTTGCTCAAGTGTGGTAGCTGCCTTAGTTGTGTCAGATAAGGATTTAGTATCCTCAAGTAGCCGTTGGCGGATCTGATGTGAGCTCAATCCTGATATGAATGCCGTTCTGATACATTCCTCTTGGTGCGCTGCAGCAGTTACCTCCTTGAAGTCACACTCTTTAGCTAGTTTTTCTAGTGCCAACAAGTATAATTCGATGGATTCTCCTTCCTTCTGGGTTCTCATGGCCAGGCAGTGACGAGCATAGTTTGGGTTTTTCGTCTTTACGAACAGAGCCTGTAAGAGGGCGCTGGCTTCAGTGTATTTAGTTAGCCCCGATATGTGCAGGAAGATATCAGGGCTAATAAAGTTTATTAAAACCTTGTATTTATCTTCGTCACTAGTTACGGTTTCTTTCAGTGTCTCAATGAAGTTGTCCATCGTAGTGCTCCAATGTGTGTATTTGTTTGCGTTTCCTCCTTGAGTTGATGTAGCTAGGTCCAGTTCTAGTCTATCCGGTCTCAGTACTTTATCCATACTTTTGTTTAGTTGAGGATGTTTAAAGTGTTGTGTGTCGAGAGTTACCAAATGAGACAGTTGTTAACAGAGTTACATTAAATATTAAACATCCTGTAAATAGTACATATTAGTAATAATAAATCTCACGACACTTGGTGTAAATGTTTAACAGTGCACATCTTGTAAAGTTATGTACTGGTACTGTAAGTTTAGTCCAGGAATGTTCACAAGTGTACTGTGTTTCATTAGTAACGGTACAGTTAGTTTCGTCCTCTCCGTTAACACAGTGCTCACATCCATCACATATATCTAGGCTGGTGGTAAGTAGTTTACTATTCCTGCTCTAAATGAAATGTCACAATACATACCGTAACTGTATCCGTTACATGTAGCCTCATCTTCACAGAAGCCTGCAAAAATCACCAACGGATTAACATCACAAACATCATTACAGATTTTGTTGGACTCCATCTTTTTCCCACCCGGCATAGTTATCATTTCGCTGCATCCCGCTTCATCTAGTTCTGTATTGACACAGTCAGATTTTCCATTGCAAATTGAAAGAGTATCTTCAAATGTTATCTTGATTGTACCCCATTTTTTCTTACACATAAATACTCCACAAAGAATATCGCCATATGTTACTTCATTAACAACAATACGTCTACAGGCCTGATAATAGTGCGGATCATCTGAACATAAAACTGACACTGTTCTATACGATGTGTCCACCCAATAATACTCCTCTGTGTTGTGACACTTATATATAAGAGCCTGTGATTCCTGATCTTTCACGAACATACCTGTTTCAAAAATCCTCCTTCTTCTTTAAAACTGCACGACTCTGCGAAGTGTTTTCAAGAGTGACACTCAATAAGCTAACGTTTCCATTAATTTACCCAAAACAAAAATTACTTTCTTTAAACTGATATTATAGGTCGATTTTAATTTTTATACATAATAATATAAGTGATATAATTACCTTGGGTAATTGAAGTTGGAACTTCGGACCAAGCTTTTGATTTGTATGTACTTGTGATGAATGGTGTAGTACTCTGTGGAGTACCAAGTTTCAACAGAATCAGTAATGTTGCAAGTTTCATAGCTCCATATTCTAAAAAATATTTTAGCTAAGATGATACTGAAAAGTGATTGGAAATTAAAAGACATTCCAAATCCACCCTACCTCCGTCCAATCTAAAAGCAAGCTCACGAGTGAAACGTAAACAAATATTAAAATACATCCCCGCAAATGACATTTAAATTAAAATTTCTATTACTTCATGCCGGTTATAGTTTTCGCCAGGTCCTGAACAGTTTCGTCAAATATGCAAAATATAGAGCAACCTTTTGACGATTCTTCTTCATTCAAAGTGAATTTCAACTAATTAGTTGAAATTCACTTTGAATGAAGAAGAATCGTCAAAAGGTTGCTCTATATTTTGCATATTTTGACGTTTTCAATGTAGATTTATAACAATAACAGTTAACTGTTATTGTTATAAATCTACATTGAAAACGTCAAAAGACCAACTGTAGCGGTTTACCAGAACATCTAGACATCTAAAACTAAGGCTTGGAATCTTAGTAAAAGCAAATGGTTGTAAAAAATGTTAAACGATTGAATGGCACATCATTGTTCTGTAACATTAAATTGAGATCCATGACGTACTTCCCGTCTATTGAAGTGTAGTTTTTGTAGTTCCTATAAAGGAGGAACTACAACTCAACAAGCGCACTGTTTAGTCCTGAAGGGACTGTTGTATAATCAATAGTGATAAATAATAGTAATAATTAACTTAACAATAATTGATAAATAATTAATTTAATAATAAACACCGTCTAACTGCAAGAAGCATCAGGACCCATGTGCTAAGCTACTTTATAAATTTATCGCCTCTGCCGGCCAACAGAATATAATAGCGAAATAAAAAGAATTAACTGATGCTAGGAATTTTAGTAAGAGCCCCTGTGCACGTGACGATTAAATGGCACAGTCCACGTGCCGGGCATTATCTTGTCTTTTATGGTAAAAATAGTCCTTTCCTTGCGTTAATATTATCAGCTGGCGAAGTAATTTGCCCTCGTAGTGGTCGTTAGGATAGTTCCAAAGGATGGTTGTGATATTTGTAAACTATTATCTCACTGCAAGAAGAATTTAAATCAGGACAGATGGTGTTGGTCTCCTTCTGAAAATTACAATTTTATAATATTTTCCGATCCTTCGTCACCCTCGAGCAAAGCTACTGGAGAAATTATCACCCCAGCAGACATGGAATAAAGATCATTACATTTAATCATAAAAAGATTTTTTTCGTAGTGTGAGTCTCTTACCGATCATTATAAAACTTTATGAAAGGTCCAAGATAATCGTTAGGATAGTTCTAATAACATAAATCGTATCTATACAGGAGCCTTTATAAGCTTAACGGGGCTAAAAACGTTATAACTGAAGTATTTAAGCCGTATTTTACGTAGTGTGAGTTTTAGTAAGTGACTGTTATTCTAGAAAAGTGATATCAGAGACAATAAGAATGAGCAATGTGCATAACGTTACCACTTGACATGCATCAGATTGTAATTTTAAAAGAAATAATTATTTTTGCTGAACATGACGTATTCTTGCAATTAATACATCAAACTTGTTGCCACGTTCAACCTATATGACTCAAAATAGTTAAATCCTCCACAAAGAATGTTGCCGTTTGTTATCTCCATATTATCTACTCTATAAGTGAGGTGACCAGTGCAGGCCTGATAATAGTGCGGATCATCTGAACATAACAACATCCTTGTGTCATGACTTCCGCCATAGTGTCCTATATCCTCGTGATTTCTGCCATAGTGACCTAAACCCGTTATTATAACACTTTCAGGGTGACCCCGGAAAGCCAGGTAACAGAGGGAGACCAGGAGCACCTGGATTGAGGGGAGGACCTGGAGACTCGGTAATATTAACATTGAATAACTATATTATCAACTACAACCTGACACTTTCTAGATAATTCCATCCTCTTTTAAGGCTGAAAGTTCGCCTTGATACCCTTATATCCTTTTGAATGTTTCAATCTAGCTAACGAATAAATATTAGGTAAATGTAACGATTAATGTTAACAGGGTAATGACGGTGCCCCGGGAACTCCAGGCAATAGAGGGCTGCCAGGAGATGTTGGCAAGGTTGGAGAGGCTGGAATTGGGGGATACCCAGGGACTCCTGGTCGACCAGGTATGTTTATAGAATCATAGATACTCCTTTTCAAAGCTTTCACTTCAAAACTGTATTCATATCAAAGTTAATCGTAATTCTTCAAAACAATCTTATTACTTTGTTATTTAAGGAAATCGAGGCGAGCCCGGAGAAAGAGGGTCGAATGGTATAGTCGGAACACCAGGATTTGTTGGAGACCTAGGTCGGGCTGGTAAAGATGGAAGACCTGGTAGACCTGGCTTACCTGGTGCTCTCGTAAGTCACATCTACAGAGTTAAATCACCTACCATATCACCTTGCTGAGCTTGTTTGAATCCTCTGTATCATAATTAAGATAACTTCGTAAAATTCGTCATGTTTCAGGGACAATCAGGATTATCAGGGGAGAGAGGGGAGCCAGGTAGGGATGGAAGGAACGGCTATGCTGGAGCTGGAGGTGAGCCTGGAGTACGAGCTAGGGATGGGAACCCCGGTCGAGACGTAAGTTAATATCCTCACTGGTCTTGTGTTCTTAATCTAAATAAATATCAAGATGCAAAGTTTAATTCATCTCAAACGATTTCATGATTTCATGATGAAACATAACAAGATGCTGACAAAACGTCACCAGGGAAGACCAGGATTACCAAGAGCTCGAGGAGGCACTGGAAGGAAAGGAATATCTGGTTCACCCGGAGAACAGGGTGTTTCAATCACTGGAGGTAGAGGTGATGTAGGGTTACCTGCAGCTGGTCGAGTTAAAATTGGTACTCCTGGATTCAGAGTGAGTGGAAGCTCGTTTTTTCTAAAATCTAGTATTAAGTCGGTTGAAAACCTTTCGGTGAATTTTAATTCTACCATCTGGTATATGTTAATGTTTTTTGTTCTTGACATGATCTAACGTATTTAGGGAGATGCGGGTGAACCAGGAACGAATGGAGCTAAAGGAAACAAAGGCTCTATCGGAGCTGACGGTCGTAATGGCTTTGCTGGAAGGCCGGTAAGAGAGAAAAAGAGAATGTGACTAGAACTCTCTGATTATATGACAAATTCCGAATTCGGGAAGCTTCTTCACAAGAATTAATTTGTATGTAAGAAGATAATATCCCTGATAGCAAGTTATATGTATCGGATAAACTACAAGTGTTTAACATTTTAGGGAGAGAATGGTGCGTATGGTAAAGCTGGTGTAGATGGGAAAGCAGGAAAACCAGGGATACCAGGAAAACCAGGAAGTAGAGGTGAAGGAGGAGTGTCAGGAGAAGTAGGAGATCCAGGTATGCCTGGGAGAGCTGGTAACAGAGGGTTACCCGGGACACCTGGTTATGAGGGAGAACGGGTAAGTTAGAAGGGTAGATTTATGTAGATTTATGTAGATTTAGAGTTGTATTTTTATTACCAAATAAACTATCACTTATTTATTTCTACTGGGAAGTTGATCAAATCTTGGTGGTTTCCTGTTTATTGAAGATAGGCTAATAGTATTTATTATTAATACTGTCCCCTTTAGTTACTCGGGTTATCACAATAAACTGCAGGGTGAATTAGTGGGTGGTAGACTCGGAGAACCAGGAGCTGATGGAAAGATAGGACTGCCTGGCAGAAAGGGACTACGTGGGGAAAATGGGCAGCTCGGCAGAAACGGTGAGCAGCATTGGTCCTTATTAAGTTTCCCTATTATTTATTTTAAAGAACATCCTCTTTCCTTGATCTTATTTGTTTATTCGACTTTCTCATCAAATTATAGTCGCACTTCGATCTAAAAGTTTGTAAATCACAACTTTCTCCCACTATATGACAGCCCCTCTTTATAGGTACACCCGGCCAGAAAGGTCTTGCAGGAGATGTAGGGATAGACGGTACTCCAGGCAGGTCTGTGATGGGTGCCAGGGGGAGACCTGGTGCTGACGGGGACGATGGGTTGAATGGAGAGAGGGGAGATCAGGGGAGGGAGGGAGAACCTGGAACCAATGTGAGTAAAGTTTCTCACTAGTTTGAAATAAGTTTTCCTGGTGAAAAAGGAACAGCTTCAACAGTTTAATAATATTATGAGCACTAGCAGAAACCCGTCTAACTTTAAAGTGGTTTACATATAGTAAGATACACTGCCACTAACTCCAACAATTACAGGGACTACTAGGGTCTCGAGGAAACGTGGGGAAGCCTGGAAAGAACGGTTTCGCGGGCAGACCTGGTAACCCGGGTACTCCAGGAAAAAGAGGAGAGAATGGAAACTCAGGATCACCTGGCAGGCCAGGTAGGGATAAAGACTTTCATTTAATAACATTCATTCTCTCCATCTCAATTCTTAAACATACTCAGATATACTGTCCGAAAAGATTCGCGGCTGGTGATCTACCTGCTTTCGGTTTTGATATTGATTTACCGATCATTTTTCATACATTTAAATTTTGTTTTCGTTGACTAACTAAAGTGAACTTTGTATTGCAGGATACGACGGTGTACCTGGAGAAAAGGGCACGTCAGGAGTTAATGGTTTGGCTGGAAGACCTGGGACACCCGGGGAGAGGGGAACTGATGGTATCAACGGAGAGGTTATTTATTGTTGTTATCAATTAATCAGTTAAAGAAGTTAATTAATATTTTAATAATAAAGCTTTCAGATGATTATCCGTATGTACAAAAGATTTATGTAATGTTCCTTTCTAGTCGTGTCCTGTATCCTTTATGATAATACTATAAAACATCAGCTAAAACGAAAGCCAGGGATAGATATTACATTTGATTTTAAGACGATCAGGTTGTAAAATTGTACATTATAAATTCTTTATTTAAGATTATTTATTTTTCTCAGCCGGGTTTGGACGGACTACCTGGCCGAGACGGTCGTAAAGGAGCTGCCGCTTACGATGGGAGACCTGGCTTACCTGGTGCACCCGGTCAAAAAGGTGGGTTATAATTTAACCGTGATCAAACACTTAGCACTCATTACTTTATAATTATTATATATAATAATTATTCTACCAACGAGTAAACCGAAACTCGCAATATTACTTGACAACGGATGGAATATTCAAGTTTATTAGTATCTCAATCCTTGGTACCCAGGTAATTCTGGTATCCCCGGAAAAAGTACCCCGGGTAGAGTAGGAGAACCTGGAAACATTGGCAGGGACGCAGTGAGGGGAGAACCTGGTAACGATGGTCTACCTGGTAGACCAGGACTTAGGGGTGAGTTATAGTTGCTTTTATACTAATAAAATTTATAGTTGCTTTTATACTAATAAAATGTATAGTTGATTTTATACTAACAAAATTTATGGTTGCTTTTATATACTAATCTTATACTTTTAAGATTTTATTTTTATAGCTTTCTCTCGTTTTTTTAGAGTTCTGATCGTCTTTATGAATCGATGTATTACCAAGACGAGTTCGTTAGTGTTCTCCTTGGTCATTTCATGTTTAATTTCTGTTAATTCCTGTTTACTTACTTTTTACTTTGGGCGATCCTCAATCGAAATCCCATTCACTGTCTGCCTCCACACGTCTCGATCGCACATAACAGTTCGAAGGTCGTCTAACTGGAGCCCAGTGTCACGAGCTACTACGTCCAGGAAAGTGAGTGGTCTCCTTCCACGGCCGGATTGGGCAAGTCGCCAGGGGAGGATAGTGGAGATAACTTGGTCAGAAGCTCTCATGCAATGCCCAGCAAATCTGGAACGCCTCCTTTTCCTGTTTAATTCCTGTTAATTCTTGTTTAATTCCTGTTTAATTCCTGTTTACTAATATCAACGAGTCTGTATGTTAGAATGATTTACTGAGGCAAAGCTTTACAAGGATATTTCGTAATACACCAAAAACTGTTAATTTGAGGCTCTAAAGATGTAGTTTATTTACAAAGGATTGGAGCTTGATATTGTGCGTTTCCCTTGATCGTGTCCAAATGCAACAAAAACTGTTTATCTCGTAAATTGTGATTTTAAATAAATCATTGTCACCAGGACAGCCAGGAGCAGCAGGAAATCCAGGAAGAAGGGGAGGTCCAGGAGATCAAGGAGAGGCTGGTCTTAACGGAGATCCTGGACTTCCGGGAGAAACCAATTTTGTAAGTCTGTTTTCTAATCTTCTAATGGATTACGATGTTGATACTTTGATAGCGATACTCCGATATTTTATAATGAAGATTAAACTACAATTTTTTCTTTTGTAAATAGCAGTCCAATGCTTTATTCTTTTTTATTTTGTATTGCCTCAGGGACTGCCCGGATCACGAGCAGAGCCAGCTGCTGATGGAAAGCCAGGGATGATGGGAAGGCCCGGAGAGCGAGGAGTAGCTGGCACCCCCGGAATTCCTGGTAGAGACGGATATCCGGGAACTGTGGGACCGGACGGGAACCCGGGTACTGACGGGATACCGGGACAACCTGGGGAACCCGGCAGGGACGGAATGGTAGGGTGCTCTTAAGTGTTTTTGGATTTCGATATTATTGCATTGTACAGGAACATGTTTTTGATGTTTTGTACTGTTCGTACAAGTATTAGTTAAGCAAACGTATTAAACTCCTGTAAAGTTTCAGTACCAGCTATCAGATTTTATGATTGCTCCAGTTTAATTTATTGGCAGTCACCTTTGAAATGTTGAATGAAAAATCAAACAGATGTTTTTCTATTCAAGAATCATACAGAGCTAAACTAATACAATTGTTTTAGAAAGCCAGAGACGGAGTAGCAGGACGAAAGGGGAGACAAGGAGACCCAGGCTTGAGAGGGCGTCCCGGTAACGCTGGCTCTGACGGAACTCCTGGCAGACCAGGCCTAGATGGAGAAATGGGACGAAATGGACTGGGAATTAAGGGTTATCGAGGAGAACCCGGAATTAGGGCGAGGCTTACATTCACTGGGAGCACATTTTAACTTGCAGCTTCTGAAAGTAATGTTTATTTCAGATTGGATGTTTACATTATTGATTATTGTTATGATTTTAAACTAAACATTCTCAAGGGATTGGACGGAACCCTTGGGCAGCCAGGTGATGCTGGTAATGACGGTAACCCTGGTAACCCCGGACTCCCTGGAAATAAAGGATACCCAGGATACAATGGCTTACCAGGACGGTCAGGTATGAGAGGAAGAAATGGGATGCCTGGCGAGCGAGGAACCCCCACTGTGAGAGAAGGGTTGCCCGGAGCTAAGGGTACACCTGGATACGGCAGACCGGGTCTACCTGGACCGAGGGTGAGTAAATTAAGCCACATAATGTTTATCTTTCTAAGGTCGTTCATGGTAGTTCAGTGAGAGTGCTGAAAAGTGTCAACAATCTATTCTTAACTATCATCCAACAATTCTCTATCTAAACTTTAATTTTTACAAGGGTGTACCAGGGGTAAATGGAATACGAGGAATGCCAGGAGATCCAGGCGAGAGAAGAACACTACCTCCCGGTGACGCTGGATTACCCGGACGACCTGGTGTTCCCGGTAAAAATGGACTGGCCGGAGACCCGGGTCTGCCAGGTCGATCAGGGTTCCCTGGTACACCAGGAGAGTCTAGGAATGGAAGAGATGGGTTGCCCGGTAGACCAGGTTATAGGGGGGATCCTGGAACGAGAGGAAAAGATGGCCTTAATGGAGAAAGGGGTGTTAATGGAATGCCGGTTAGTTTACATTTAAGCCATATTGATTCATCTCTTTGCAGACGACATAGGTTATTTAACTTTAAGAGTTTAAGTTATTGCAATTAAAGTACGTTCTGCCTCTGGGTTTTATTTAAAATTCACATGCTATTATGATTTTTAATTTTAACCAAAGGTTGATTTAGAATTTTACACCTTATCTCAGGGTCGTCCCGCGTACGGAACCGTCGGAACTCCAGGAGTAGCAGGGAGGGATGGTAGAAACGGGTTACCTGGCAGGAAGGGTTACCCTGGGGACCCTGGACGGAATGGTTTGAGAGGTATTCCTGGTAAAGATGGGGCTCTGGGTACTGCTGGAGAAGCTGGCCTTCCTGGTAGAGATGGATACCCAGGTAACGTTGGGGGTCTTTAAAATCAGTAAAATTAAACTTTTAAATTGATATATGAAAAAACAAAATTTCCATTTCATATCTTCCTCAAAAGATAATAATATAAAAACTTGTAAGGACGTGACGGGTACCCTGGTGCCATGGGAGATCCTTCATACGGTCTGCCCGGAACTAATGGAGGTAAAGGTGAACCTGGTGAAGCTGGAACTACAGGGAACGATGGAATTGATGTATGTTTAATTAATTATAACTTTGTAGAGCTTGAGTTTTTATTAGTAATTATTATGGAGTGGTTCTTTGTTAAGATTTGTCTCCTTTTCAGATAAGTGTATTTATGTATCAATAAATGAACTTAGTAAACAAAAGCTAAACAACAACAACAAAAAGTGAATTCCTCTATCACTAGGGTATACCGGGAACTCCTGGTGTTGATGGAAGGAAAGGATTTTCCCGGCAATAACGGACTATCTGGACGGAATGTGAAAGGCAACCCAGGTTAGAAGATGAAAGGAAATTATTAAAAAATAAACGCCGACCATCGCCATAGAAATATGAATACATAAAACTGTTATTATTATGATTCTCACATGAACTTGTTTGTAGGAACACCTGGAACGAACGGACGTCCCGGAGAAACCGGCTTAATTGGAACTAATGGAGCGGACGGAGCAGCAGGAAGAGCAGGGAGAAAGGGATACCCTGGTAATCCCGGTATTAGTGGGACCCCTGGTGTGAAGGGAGATAGCGGGGATAGTAGTATTCATAATGGTACTTATAACTCACCTAAAAATGAGGCACCTGTAACTGTGTGTAATTACGTAATTTAACCCTAATTTGTGGTAATTTTTGCTAACCCTAATTGCTAATTGTATACACTAACCCTAATTGAGAGTGTTTATTCCTCATTAACATTTTGCTAATTTGGGGATACCATACTATTACACTGAGGCTAACCCTAGATAACAATTATATAGTGTACACTTTAACTTGAACACTGCGTATGTTGCATGAGAAACTATATACAATAGTTATTGTCAGAAGCTTTTAGCCACACCTGTTCATACTATATAGAGGAGCAAGTACTGGAGCAGCATTGTGCACATCTAATGACAACCCTTATATGTCTATTAACTTATTAATGGAAAAGTCATTATTTGTAATACGGGAGTATCATGTAAGTGTTAACTTGTGACACACAGAAAGTTTTTTCTTATTACCTTTTAGCTTTCTAATAAGGACTGATGTTGACCTCTGGGGATATTTCTAAGTTGTCAGACCGTGAACTAAGAGAGAAGTTAATACCTAAACCTGGATCTAGTACTGAGACTCCGAGGAAAGTATACAAGGTGCAATTGTTTAACCTAAAGCTCGATTTCTGGATCAGGATTAAGTTGAATACTGACCCATGATTGCATCTGTATGGATACTCAAAGTCACAACACCTGTTGATGTGACAAAAGAATCAGCCAGTTTTGATGAGTTGCACTTGAAATATCTTATCGATCAATTTGACACATCTGACCGAATGAATTATTATTATTGTGTGTCAACAGTATGACATAGTACACAGCATGCAGTATAGGAGAGCAGCAAATTAATCAATCGTGTTAATATGAGTGAACATTATTTTAAATAATGTGTTAAGATCACTAAAACAGTAAATTTCTCAACCCCCAATAAATCGGCTATATAAGGAACTCATAAACAGGATCATTTCCTAATTAACGCGCTACGATACGCTTCATTTTTAGAGCTTATTAACTTTTGTGACATCGCGTAAAACAAAACAAAAAAACGTCCTATATAAAGGGGGGCTCTATACAGTTTAAGTCACTTCACGTTTGACTAGTAACGCTATGTCAAAGATGGTGTACTCCCACAAATGTAACCATTGTTACAAGTCTTTTAAAACTTCACGAAGCTTGGCGTCACACAAATACAAATTTCATTCTGACACACGTTCAGTTAATAAAGACCGCAGAAATCTTGATAATTTTTCTATCAATAGTGATATTGAATCAGTCTCTGTAACAAGTGAGACATCAGTTTCATTAGCTCTACGTGAATTGAAAGATCTCATGAAAATTGTACAACAAAGAAACGACAAACAAGAGGACAAATTGAGGGAATTGGATGCTAAGATATTCTCGCTAGAGTATAGTAAACGTGATGATCTTCCTACACCAATGAATTACAATCACGACAACACCAATGAGATAAAGTGGGAGACTAAAAGACAATCTGAACGAATAGGAGATCTTGAAAGAAAAATAAAAAGATTAGAGCAATCTTGTGAAGATGAAATGGATCAATCGTTTGTCAAAACAGTGGAGGATGCAACCAACGTTCAGCAATTATTCCAAAGCAATGACGTGGGAGCAATCCAGAAACAAATAGTAGCTCTAAAGAATGGAGTTCTTTTACTTCTTGACAATTTTGATCATAGTCCTGAAATAGAAAACCTGTTGCGACGAATATATGATGCTTCATTTAAAGAGGCTCAAGAAATCGTGCACAAAAATTTCTTTGCTCTACAAAAAGCTTTTACTTCTGTCTCGTTTGAGCAAAAACCTAATTTTGAAAGTGAAGATGAATCGGACGAAAACGAAGAATCTCAAAATGATGAGACTACAGGTCAAACTGAAAACGATGATTCAGAAGGTTCAAGCGACGAAATAGAGGAAGAAAATTCAGCTGATGAGACTCAGACAGAATATTATACTAGTGATAATTCAGACATTGAAGATTCGAATTGAAGAAAGGGACTATGGATAATTGATTACTCAATATTCGACTTTTATTTTTATTTTTTGAAAATTTAGAATTACGTATTAATTTAAAAATATTGTAGCGAGGGATTTTTTATTGTTATTCGATATATTCAATTCTTTTTAGTATTTAAAAAAAAAACTATTTCTTTTATTAATATTGTCATGAAATACGCAAAAGACTAAACAAACTTCATAAATCAATTTCAATTTGCAAATAAGTAAAACATATAGATAATTCCACAATATAGATGCAAAAACCATAAACCCGGTGATATCACCCATATCACCCGGTGATATCACCCATATCACCCGGTGATATCACCCGTATCACCCGGTGATATCACCCGTATCACCCGGTGATATCACCCGTATCACCCGGTGATATCACCCGTTAAAACATATAGATAATTCCACAATATTGATGCAAAAACCACAAACCCGGTGATATCACCCATATCACCCGGTGATATCACCCGTATCACCCGGTGATATCACCCGTATCATCCGGTGATATCACCCGTATCACCCGGTGATATCACCCGTTAAAACATATAGATAATTCCACAATATAGATGCAAAAACCATAAACCCGGTGATATCACCCGGTGATATCACACATATCACGAATCAAAATCTGAATTACAGCATGCAAGACAATTTTTGACTGAATACTTGGATTGACTAACAGATTTATTCGCTATTGCTAAGCACTTGTTGACAATGACCCCAACCAATTGAATAGTATACAGCCTAAGTCTTGCATCAAACGGGGATAACTTTTCAAACAGGTTGTATCACTCCCTTTACAAACTCTTTAAAAAAAACACAGTTCTTTTGTTCCATTCCTATCAAAAGTTACAAAAGCTATCAAAAGAATTTGTTCGGTAAATCCTTTCTAGATGAAGATGCCTCCAACTGTATCATCTTTTCATTTTAATCTTTGCCTATTCACCATAGCATGTTGTCCCGGTGCACGAACACAATGAAATGCATAATGGTTAGACACAAAATAAAAGTGATATCATTAATACAAATAAATAAAAAAGGATCGTGCTGTGAATTCCTCAATCAAATTTATTCTGTTTTACTTTATTTTCAAAACATTGATGACTCTGTCTTCGAGAAGGAAGGAAAAAAAATATTACATAACATAAATGCATTTAGATGAAAATATACTATAAACTACAATCAGTATGATGGCTTCAAATATTTTGGTATTCGCTAAATAAATCAAAATATTAAAATTAATAAATTTAATTAAAAGTTATTTCGGTATTCGCTCAAATTCTAAATTACTACATAGCATTAAAATGATGCATCTAACAGAAAAAAAAAGATACCCAAATTAATTAGTTATGTTCATTAAACTTAAACTCATTTCAGTATTCACTAAAGTTTTACAGTTTTGGAAAATATAAAATAAAATTAAGTCTATTCCATATATTACAGTTTTACAGTTTTTTTGAAAGTAAGATGAAATTATGCATTCAATTTAAAATGTCCATAACTTAAAGTGTCAATACCGTTTTCTAGTATGAACTTCTTGTCATCAAATGATGATAATGCTTGTTTTCTTACATTAATTGAGTAAAGGGTTCTATTAAATGAGCGGATGGACTTATTTTCTGACATTGTCACAGTTCCCGAACTTAATACTTGGCGATAGTCTTCGTGCGATATTTTCTTCTTTGCTGCTTTTGATATTCCTTTAGCAATTGCAGTATGTCCTATTCTACAAGAGCTGGAGCATGAGTGGTTACCTTCATTAACCTTTGAACATTCCAGAACTTGAGTAAGGACGGAATACTTTTTTTACTTTCAACACTACTATATAACAAATAATTTGAGGATGTACCATGAATGCACAATGACCATGAATCTCTAAACTCGTTGGCAGTGGGGTAGCCTGTGTGGAACCTGCAGGGGTGGTGGAACAGAAGACTTGCTGATGGCCCTGCTTGAGAGTTGAGTACTTGTTGTGCTGTTGTTATGTAAACACACTTCACTCATCCTCACAGTCATCACAGTCACCACACCTGGAGGGCTCACAGCATAGTGTATACATGGTGTTCCCTCCGGCCATCATTAAAATAGTAGTGTTGAAAGTATGCAAATTGTATCTACTATCTTATCTGTCTTATTGAAATATACCCAGATTTGATATTGACTAATTAACACTCTTTCAGCTTTGCTATTTGGGCTTCCCAGCCCTCACCTTCCACAACATCCTCCATACCATCCCTCACATCATCAACCCTATCATCTCACTCTCATATCAATCCTGTCTATGTTGGTCTGTCAGTGTGTCAGTCTATAGATTCTTATTATGATTATTTCTATATAGCTATGATATTTCACATCCTTCACGTTGCTCATTATTATACTCTATACTACTCTTCTCTCTCCCAGGTCCTGAGGCCTGTCTGACGGGACACCACCCCGAACGGTCCACCGGCTGCCCCCGCCTTTTCTCATAATCATGGTACACGATAGATCTCTACGGAATGCTCGTCCTCACAAGGCTCCACCCAACGATCCGAATAACAGCCTCTATGACTCACCTCAATCAAGAGTTTCCCTCTTCAAGGAGCAACTGAAGAGTAACACCGAATCTCCTACTGTCATACCAGAAAGCCCCATTGATGTTACTGGAGACAAATTCTTTGATGCAGAGTGCCTTGTCCCCAAA